CCTTGGCTTGAGGGATTCTGGGAGCTGAGGTCCACGCCTCTTAAAGGGACCGCATTTGAGAAACGCTGAGACTCAACTTTCCTTGAGCATTGTGCTACATTTCTAGCTGTGTCACCACAGCCCCCATTGTGTGTGCGTGTGTTCCCCACAGCAGTTGAGCATCCTCAGCCTTTCAACACCACCCAAGGGCGGGGGCTTTGCCATTCCCCCCCAAAACGAGGGGCCGTAAATTGTAAATCTGGGTCCATCTTCCCCCTCGATTCTCACCGCCACTCCGGCACCTATCCAGACCAACGATGACCCCCTTCAATAGGCAGGAAAGGAAGAGTAACCCCCTGCCCCACCATGCTTCTTTCCCCCCCCTGTTATTTTTGGGTTGGGGGGGTCTTTGTGCGGCGCATCTCGTCCAGGGAGAATTAATTTTGCAAAGGCTCCCTGGGACAGTTTTCCTCCAGAGTGCCATCCACCTTTTGGAATCGGGTGGGTGGGTAGCTGTGGTCCCTGTGGGGGGGGGGGTCTTTTCCAAATGAGGATTTGCAGGATGGATCCTGGCCACCTGAAAATTAGGGGGTCTCCTCTACCACGTGCCCCTGCTCGCGTGGCATGGGATGGGGCGGGGGTTTTCCAGCAAATTCAGGACTGGGAAAGGGGGGTGGGGAAACCATGTTCACCCCCCACTTTTTCCTTTTTCCTTTCCATCCTGTCTTCTCCTCCACCCTCCATGGTGCTCCCTGACTCTCCCGGAGACTTCTAAGATAGACTGCCCGGACACAAGGATGCTCGGCTGTTTTTAAATGTGAACTCCCACCCTCGACGGGGGCTGACTCGATGTTCTTGTTACTGAATAAATTTTTATTTTGAGAACCGGAGGCCTCTTGTCATCAGTGGGGCAGGGATCGGGGGGGGGGGAGGGGGAAGAAGAGGGGCCTCGGAGGTCTCCCAAACCTTCCCGGCTTTCATTACAGCTAGTCTCGACTTACAACCATTCACTCAGTGACCATTCAAAACCACAATAACGGCACTGAAAAAAGTGACATGGGACCATTTCTCGCACTTACCATCCCCGTAGTCCGGTGATCGAAATTCAGACACCTGGCAACTGATTGGTATTTATGACGATCGCAGTCTCAATGGGGAAGCCAGATTCACTTAACAACTGTTTGACTCACTTAACAACAGCAGTGATTCCCTTGACAAATGGTGGCAAGAAAGATTGTTAAATGGGACAAAATTCACTTAATCCTCTTAGCAATGGAAGTTTTGGACTCCGTTCCAGTTGTAAGTTGAGGACTACCTGGGTATTTTATTTCTCGCGAGTAACAAATGTAAGATTTGAAGGCCACCTTTGGCTTCTACTAGGGATTCTTCTGATACTTGGAAGTGAACCAAATCTTATCTCTAGGGGTCTCCTGCCCCCATCCTAAAGCCGTAACGTGGGTCCGAATGTCCTTGTGGATTGCGGTTTGGTGTCACCCAGAAGTCATTCCCGCTGGTATTGTATTTGTTTGGAAAAATCAGAAAGACAAGAAAAGGTGGCCTCCCTGATTTAAACTCAGATGGAAGAACCTCAACTCCCAGAATGCTACGCTAACTCAGGCATTCTGGAGGGTAAAATCCCCCCCAGGGTCATAAATACAGGTAGTCCTTGACTTACGACCACAGTTGGGATTGTAACTTCCTAAGCAATTCAATATTTGAGAAGTAAGTCATGCCTGATTTTACGAACTTTTTTTGACACAGCCGTTAAGTGAATCACTGCGGTTGTTAACTGAATCACACAGGCATTAAGTAAATCTGACTTCCCCCCAGAGCCACCTGGGAAGGGGGTAAATAGGGTCACAGGACCCTGGGCTGTTGCCATCGTCGCAAATACATGCCAATGGCCAAGCACTCAAATGTTGTGACCACGGGGATGCTATGGCCGTCGTAATTTTTTTTCCAGCGCTGTTATGACTTCAAATAGTTTCAGCAACAACTTTAGTCACTAAATAAAGCATCATAAGACGAGGACTATCTATATTTTTCATCCTAAATGATTCTGATTTTAGTATTCGATGAAATGGCACATCATCCAGAGACGGATGGGCACTGAGAAAGCATGAACTCTAAATAAGTAAATAAATGTAGGTTACTTTGCAAAGTGGGAAGAAAGACGGAAGGTGATTTGCTTCCGATTTAGCTTCCACAACTCTCCATAAAACATTGTCGGGAAAACCCAAAGGTGCTTTTTTTCCCCAAGAGGCAACGAGACTTTCTAGTTTTTCTTTGAAGACGTTTCCCTTCTTATCCAAGAAGCTTCTTCAGCTCTGACCGGATGGTCAGGAAGGGAAGGATTTATACGCCTTGGAGACAGCTGGTCATTTGCATCCTTTTAGAGGGTCGTTGAGGCCACTTGGAGGTTTCTCTGTATCCTCAGGGTCACCTGAGTGGTGGAAATGGATGTGGAGCCTTCTTGGAACTGCTTGAAAGGACTGTTGTAGAAGGCTCCACCCCCATTTCCACCACTCAGGTGACCCTGAGGACACAGAGAAACCTCCAAGTGGCCTCAACGACCCTCTAAAAGGATGCAAATGACCAGCTGTCAGCAAGGAGTATAATACTTTACCTGTCTATGGAGATTCTCCGTCCTCCAAGTCCTGGTTGTCCCAAAGGTGCTTTTTCAAGAGGTAATTGGACTTTCTGGTTTTTCTTCAAAGTCATTTTGCTTCTCGTCCAAGAAGCTTCTTCGGCTCTGACTGGATGGTGGCGAAGGGAAGGATTTATACTCCTTGCAGAGAGCTGGTTATTTGCATCCTTTTTAGAGAGCTGTTGAGGCCACTTGGAGATTTATCTGTCGTTGAGGCCACTTGGAGTAGTGCAAATGAGTGTGGAGCCTTCTTGGAACTGACTGTTGTAGAAGACCCCACACCCATTTNTAGATAGATAGATAGATAGATAGATAGATAGATAGATAGATAGATAGATAGATAGATAGATAGATAGATAGATGATAGATAGATGATAGATAGATTTGATAGAGATAGATGGATGGATGGATGGATGGGCAGGCAGAGATGATAGATGGATAGACAGACTGACTGACTGACTGACTGACTGACTGACTGACTGACTGACTGACTGACTGATATATAGACAGATGAGAGATTGATTGATAGATAGATAATAGACAGGCCAATGGTAGGTAGGTAGGTAGATTAGATGGATGGATGGATGGATGGATGGATAGATAACGAGACAGACAGACTATGACTGATTGATTTATAGACAGATGAGAGATTGATAGATGAAAGATTGATAGATAGATCATAGATATAGCCAAACCAATGATAGGTAGGTAGGTAGATTTTCGTAGATCCATAGGTGATAGATATAGGCATAAATGAGAGGGAGGGAGGGAGGGGTAGTTTGAGTTGGGTCCCTTTCTTGACAGCCCCCCCCCCCTGGATTTGGGGGGTGGGTGGCTCATGGTGGAGACAAGCCCTCTTCTCCCCAGAGAGCCATGCAGGCAGCTGCTCCAGTTCCCTTGGCTGCTGGCGCCCCCTGCTGGTCAAGGAGTAACCAGGGCTCTAGATAGCATATTTGCTCCATTCAAGGGAGGTACAACCCCAACCGGAGCCCCCTCCCTCCCTCCCTCCTTACTAGATGGGAGACCCCCAACCCATTTCCAAGCCAGTCTGGGTCTTGGCCCTATGGACTGGTCAAATAGAGTGTAACCACTCCATTGGTTTGCCATTATAGACCATATTCCTCGACTTAATGACTGGTCATTTAGCCACTGTTCAAATTGGGGGGGGGGGGGGGGGGGAGTAGGTAGGTAGATAGATAGATAGATAGATAGATAGATAGATAGATAGATAGATAGATAGATAGATAGATAGATAGATAGATAGAGGGGGGGATGGATAGAGGTGGTCCTCAACTTACGTCCACAATTGAGCCCAAAACTTTTGTTGCCAAGTGAGACATTTGTTCAGTGGGTTTTGCCCTATTTTACGGCCTTTCTTGTCACAGTTGTTAAGTGTGACCACTGCGGTCGTTAAATTAATAACGCAGATTTTGCTTGTCAAAAGGGGGGGGGAGCGATCACATGATACACACCCCCACCTCCACCCCCCAGGACACGGCAACTGTCATAAACGTGAGTCGGTTGTCAAGCATCCAAATATAAATCGGGTGGCCATTGGAGATGCTGCGACGGTCGTAAGTCTGAAAAATGGTCCTCCCAAATCACTTTTCTCAGTGCCGTTGTAACTTTGAACAGTCACCAAGTCAACCGTCGTAAGTCGAGGACTACCTGTACTTAATGACCCATCGTTCAAACATCTCCCTTCTACCCCAAAGTCACCTGACTTCACTACAGGTGCAAACTGCAACATTTGCATTATGACTGCAGATTCACTTAACAACCACAGTGATTCACTTAACAACCACAGTGATTCACTTAACAACTGTCAGCCTGAGATGATAAATTTGGGGACTGATCATGCACAGAAAGTCCATTGTAACTTTGAAAAGTCAAAATTTAGAAATACAGGCACTCCTCGACTTAACGACCACAATTGAACCGCAATTTTCTGCTGCTCAGACATTGAGACATTGGTTAGGGGAAGTTTGTCCTGTTTTACCACCTTTCGTGCCCCAGTTGTTAAGCGAATCCCTCCAGTTGTGGAGTTAATAACCCAGTTGTTAAGTGAATCTGACTTCCCCTCGCTGGCTTGGCTGGTCACAAAGTCACAAAAGGGGATCGGGTGACCCCCAGGATGCTGCAACCGTCATAAATATGAGTCACTTGCCAAGCATCTGAATTTTGACCACGTGCTACAACGGTCGTAAGTGTGAAATACGGTCATACTTTTTTCAGTGCAGTTGTAGCATTGAATGGTCACTGAACAGATGGTCATAAGACAAGGACTACCAGTATGTAATTTGACCCGATCTGACATGAAAATATTGTTGGGATCGTTCATTAAGCTTCTTCCCTTTTTTTCTCTTTTCTCCAGCTCTCGGAACCAGAGCCATCCGTGGGCCTGATCCGCTCCCATTCCCCTGTCGTCTCGGTCAAAGAAATCGTCACGGAGATCGAGTCCATCCATCAGGGAGGATCCCAGGGACCTACCAAGGCAGAGACCACCAGCAATCCGCTCCCAACGCCCAAGAAGACCCCCCTCCACGAGACCCCAGCCGAGGCGACCTGGCCTTCGAACAACAAGCACGGGAAGGCCGAGGAGGCAGCGGACGCGGCTGGTCCAGTCCCGAAAGAAGCTGCACGAGAACCGTTGAAACCGGAACACAAAGAGTCTTTGTTGCCCCCAACGCTTGCCTCTAAGCCAGACACGGAAGGGAGGGGCTCAGCCGAAGACCCCACAGAAGTCCGAATCCTCCCTGGGCCCAAATGGTGTCCCGGTTCTGTCCGACGGGCCACACTGGAGTTTGAAGAACGTCTACGGCAGGAGCAGCAAGATTTGCAGCACGCTTCTCCGGTCGCCCTTTTCCCCGTCCGGAAGAATTCCCGGAACGAGTCTGATTCGGGCGCAAAAGGTAGAAATGACGATGCAGCTCACGAGCCAACCCAATTTTCGAGAAATAAGGAGATCTCGAGAACAGGCAACGGCTCTGAGACGGAGACCGTCTCTGAACCTCCAACGTCGTCCGAGCCTTCCCATCCACCGGAAGTCCCTGCGGAGGTGCCAAGCGTGACCCGCGAACACCGGATGGTGCTTTGGATGGAGGGTGACGAGGGACCTCCTCTGCTCAGCCCTCTCCCCAAAAGAATTGAGATCATCGAATACACGCCCGCTTTGCCAGGCACGGAGGTGGCCGAGAAGGGTATCACTGCCCGGACCCCGGAGAAGACCGTGGATGAAAACTGCAATACCGCTTTCTGTTCGGAGACTCCTGAGTGCAGCCCGGATTTGTCTGGGACACCAGAACAGGAGGGTGTCCCCTTCAGTGAAGCCCTCTTCTCTTGGGGAAGCCCGAAAGAGGGAGAAACGGGGGAAGCACCGTCCAACCCTGAAGCTCCCTCTTCTTCGGCCAACCAGGCGAGACACTCCCCTCCACCCTGTTCACGTCAAAACTACCGTCTCGGTCTGGAGGGTGTCACTCAGGACAGCACAAGCACCGAGCCTGAGCCAGCTCCCTCGGGGGGCTACGCTGGAAACGGGCACTTCTCCCTGGAGGAGAGGGGAAGGGCCTTCCCGTCCTGGACACGCTGGGACCCCAATCTGGGAAAAAATCCTCCGGGCATTCCCTTGACCTATCCTCTTCACTGCTCTCTCCCTCGCCGTTCCAGCTGCGACGGCTGCACCAAAGACAACAGCCAGGGGACAGGCCTGGTTAAGCAGCTGGCGAAAGAACTGGAATCCCGCCTGCGGCAAGCCGGACTCACCGCACCCTCTCAAATGAAACGCTCGGCGTCTTTGGCCAAACTAGACTCTCTGGGCTCGCTGAAGGACGACTTTCCCCGCGGTGGCTGCTGCCTGCCTACCAGCGCCCGAGCCGTCTCGCCGGAATCTCTCCGGATCCCCACGCCGGATCCAGCCATCTCTGCCCTGACCCTCCTGTCTCCCGAACCCACCCGGCATTTGGTGGAACCGGTCAAGCTGTGGGAATGCCTAGCCCTGAGCCGGCCGGTGGAACGGCCCCTGGCTCAATTCGCCCAAGACTTCACCCCAACCTGTGGCCCCCCGGAAGGAACGTGGACTTGGGCCCACAGCTTGGGGCAGCCGGCCGCGCTCGCTCGAAATGCCCCCGTCAGAACTCGGCTGCCCAGGAGGTTAAAAAAATCTAACGAACGAAAACGAACCACCAACCCCATCTATAATACGATGTGATCCCTGCCTCGGTTTCCCCTCCCTTCTCTTAACCCCCTCCTCCTCCTCCCCCCCCTTCAAACTTTTCACAATCCCTCGCAGATGTAATATATATACCGAAACATGCACTTTATTAGTTAGGTTATTGTTTTATTTGTACGGTCCCTACGTTTTTTTGCATGTACATTTTCGAGGCGGCTGAAATTCGAGTTTAAAAAAACAAAACCCAACCTCCATCCGTGCGAGTGGACTGCGAGATGACCCCCCCCCCGTGGCGTTTTTGTGTGTGTGTGTGTTTGTTGTTTTATTTCGTTTTTGTTCTTCATTAGGTGGTGGTTGTGTTTGTTTTTTTTTTCTATGACAAGATTTTACCTCTATTTTTTTTTTCCAGCTTTGCCTTAAAAGAACACCCTTTGTTTGCAAAAAAGAAGCCGTCGTGTTTTTTCCCCCTCGCCAATGNCAAGCCATGATTTGTTGAATCATGGCTTATTCAACAAGCCATGGTTCATTGAATCATCCTCAAGCCATGATTTGTTGAATCGTGGCTTGTTCAACAAGCCATGGTTCATTGAATCATCCTCAAGCCATGATTTGTTGGATCGTGGCTTATTCAACAAGCCATGGTTCATTGAATCATCCTCAAGCCATGATTTGTTGAATCGTGGCTTGTTGGATAAACCCAACTGCCTTAATGATGTTCCATGCGTTAGCCTGGTTCACAGGCCGACAAGCCACAGGAGCCGGGCTCCCCGGCTGCAAAGCCACAAGCAAGCCAACCCCCGTCGGCTTCAGCGTTGACACCCACCTGGGTCGGGCTGGTTGTGTGAAGTCGGCCCGCAATGATCCAAATCGAGCCAGGAGCGACTGGTGGTGGAAATTAGAACCCCCTCATTTGTGAAAGAATACCTACATGTAGTCCTCGACTTACAATAGTTCATTTAGTGACCATTCAAAGTTGAAAAAAAGTCACTTCGGATTGTTTTTACACACTTAACGACCGTTGCAGCATCCCCCATGATCAAGTGATCAAAATCCGGACGCTTGGCAACGGACTCATATTTATGACCGTCTCAGCATCCTGCGGTCACGTGATCCCCTTCTGCGACCTTCTGACGAGCCAAGTCCCTGGGGAAGCCAGATTCACTTAACGACCGTGTTGCTAACTGAAGAACTGCGGACGTTCACCGAAGAACCGTGTCAAGGAAGGCCGTGGAAGGAGGCAAAACTCACTTAAGGACTATCTTGCTTAGCCATAGAGTTTTGGGGCTCAGTTTTGGTCATAAGTCGAGGACTACCTGCATAGGGTAGTTCCCGAGCACGGGGTTGGACTAGAAGACCTCCAAGGCCCCTTCCCTTCTGTCATTCTGTTGTTATTCTGCTATTTCTCATGCAAACTCAGGAGGAAGCCAGATTCACTTAACGACCGTGTGGCTAACTTAACTGCTGCGATTCACTTAACAACTGTGGCAAGGGCACAAAACAGGGCAAAATTCAGAATGGTCTCGCTTAGCGACATACATTTGGGGCTCGGTTCTGATCGTAAGCTGAATCCTTCCTTCTCCCTCCCATTCTCCCTTCCTTCCTTCCTCCCTTCCCTTCTTTTTCTTGTTTCTTTCTTTTCCTTTCTTTCTTCCCTTCCCTTCTTCCCTTCATTCCTTCTTTCATTTCTTTCTTTTTCTTTCTTTCCTTCCTTCCCTTTGCTTCTTACCTTCTTCCTTTCGTAAAACAAGGGCAAAATTCAGAACAGCCTCACTTAGCGACTTAAATTTGGGGCTCGGTTCTGATCGTAAGTCGAATCCTTCCTTCCTCCCTTCCCTTCTTTCTTTTCCTTTCTTCCCTTCCCTTCTTCCATTCTTTTTTTTCTCTCTTTTTCTTTCTTTCTTTCCTTCCCTCTGCTTCTTACCTTCTTTCTTTTGCAAAACAAGGGCAAAATTCAGAACAGCCTCGCTTAGCGACGTAAATTTGGGGCTCGGTTGCGATTGTAAGTCGAGGACTTCTGGTAATTCAACAAATAAATAAGGCTTCTAAGGCCACGTCCTTCGGTGATTCCCAGGACTGTGAAAGTCCGTATCGAAAAACACGAACTTCAGCGAAATGAGGCTGTCAAAAAAAGAGGATTTGTGGCCCATCGCTCTGCAGTTTTCCATCCCGGTTACTAAATGGATCGATGTAGCCAAGCTATTTATATCTAATTTATGTCCTTAATAATGGCAAGGAAGGCAGTACAGGGAGTCCTTGCGTTACGACGACAACTGGGCCGGAATGTCCATTGCTAACTACGGCAGTTGTTGTAAAAAGATTTTACCGTCTTTTTTTTTGCCACCGTTGTTAAGTGAGCCGTGCAGTTGTTAAGCGAATCCGGCTTTCCCTGTGGACGTTGTTTGTCAGAAGCTGGCTAAGGAGGTCAGGAAGGGAGACCGTCGTGAACCCGGGATGCTGCAACCGCTGGGGGGGGGGCAAGGGCCCGGATTTTGATGCAGTGTCCGTCTCAGGACACGTAAAATGGTCGTAAGGACAAGCAGTCCTTGAGTGAGGACCATACGGAGGCCTATCCGTTATGGCTGTACCTCGTGGGCCTTATAAAGTGCTTTGGTCTCACACGGCCCACCTGATTTTATCACCTTTATTTGCGATGGTCGTAAAGCGACCACTGTGGTTGTTAAGCGAGCACCAAGGCCGTTAAGTGAGCAGTGCAATGGTGGATCAAACCAGGGGTTTGCTATAGGCTGGTTTTACAGGAAATTGGAAGTAAATGTCCTTCCTTCCTTCTCTCCCTCCCTTCCTCATTCTTTCCTTCCGCCCTCCCTCCATCTACCCCTTCCATTCTCCCTCCCTTCCTTCCCTCCTTTCTCTCCCTCCCTCATTCTTGCCTTCCTCCCTCCATCTACCCCTTCCATTCTCCCTTCCTTCCTTCCCTTCTTTCTTTCTTTCCTTCCTTCTCTCCCTCCCTTCCTCATTCTTTCCTTCCTTCCTCCTACCCTAATTTTTTCTTCCTCCCTCCCTCCCTCTCCCATTTTCCCTTCCTTCTTCCTTCCCTTCTTCTTTCTTTCTTTTCCCTTATTCTTTTCTTTCCTTCCCTTCTTCCCTCCATTCCTTCTCTTTTCTTTTTTCTTTCCTTCCCTTCTTACCTCCCTTCCTACTTTGTTTCCTTTTCTTTCTTTTTCTTTCTTTCCTTCCTTCCATTCTTCCCTTTCTTTTCCTTTCTTTTTCTTTCTCCTTTTATTCTTTCTATAGTCATACAATCCTAGAGCTGAAGGGACCTTGGAGGTCTTCCAGTCCAACCCCCTGCTCAAGCAGGAGACCCCATACCCTCCCAGACAAATGGTTTTCTAGTCTCTTCTTGATGACCTCGAGTATTGGAGCAGCCACAACTTCTGGTGGCAAGTCGTTCCACTGATTATTTATTCCCACTGTCAGGAAATTTCTCCTTAGTTCTAAGTCGAATCTCCCTCTGTAAAGTTTACACAATTGCTCCTTCCTTCCTTCCTTCCTTCTCTCCTTCCTTCCATCCTTCCATCCTTCTCTCCTTTCTTCCTCCCTCCCTCCCTCCCCTTCCTTTCCTCCTTCCTTCCCTCCCTCCTTCCTTATCTCCTTCCTTCCCTCCCTCCTTCTCCCTTCCTCCTTCCTTATCTCCCTCCCTCCTTCTCTCCCTTCCTCCTTCCTTCCCTCCCTCTTTCCTTCTCTCCCTTCCTCCTTCCTTATCTCCCTCCCTCCTTCTCTCCCTTCCTCCTTCCTTCCCTCCCTCTTTCCTTCTCTCCCTTCCTCCCTCCTTCTCTCCCTTCCTCCTTCCTTCCTTCCTTTCCTCCCTCCCTCCTTCCTTCCCTCCCTCCCTCATTCCTTTTTCTTTCTTTCTCTCTCTTTTTCTTGTTATTTCGTTCTTTACAAAATCATAGAATCCTAGGGCTGATGGGGACTTTGGAGGTCTTCTAGTCCACCCCCTTCACCCCAAGCGGTGGTCCCTGTACCATTCCAGACAAAATGGCTATCCAGTCTCTTCTTTAAGGAAACCTCAACCTCAGGTGGCCAGCTGTTCCGCTGGTTAATTATTCTCCCTGCCAGGAAATTTCTCCCTAATTCCAGGTGGCTTCTCTCCTTTGATGATTTCCCCTTCATTTTCCCCTTCTTTTCTTCTTCACCTTCCCCCGCTCCACTAAAGCAGCCCACCCCCCCATTCCTCAACATGCTCCCCCCCCCCCAATTGGGTTGTTCTAATTTTATTTTTTTACACTTCTTCAAGCAAACGGGACTCCACCGGCCGTCCGCTGAGGGGCAGCTCAATGCAAAGGCCAAGCTGTCCAGCAGAGGTCGTCCCCCACCAAGGCCACAGGCCTCCCGTGGCATGGAGAGGCTGAAGACCCAACCAGAAACCCTCAAAAAACTGCTAGAGCAGAGGGTCTCCAACCTGGGAGATTCTGGGAGTTGAAGTCCGCCAGGCTTAAGGTTGCCAAGGTTGGAGACCCTGGCTGAGGAATTCTGGGAGTTGAAGTTCACCAGGCTTAAAGCTTTGCTGACTGAGGAATTCTGGGAGTTGAAGTCCGCCAAGGTTGGAGACTCCGGCTGAGGAATTCTGGGAGTTGAAGTCCACTAGGCTTAAAACTTTGCTGACTGAGGAATTCTGGGAGTTGAAGTCCACCAGACTTAAAGTCGCCAAGGTTGGAGACCCCGGCTGAGGAATTCTGGGAGTTGAAGTCCACTAGGCTTAAAGTCGTCAAGGTTGGAGACCCCGGCTGAGGAATTCTGGGAGTTGAAGTCCACCAGGCTTAAAGTCGCCAAGGTTGGAGACCCCGGCTGAGGAATTCTGGGAGTTGAAGTCCCCCAGGCTTAAAGCTTTGCTGACTGAGGAATTCTGGGAGTTAAAGTCCACCAGGCTTAAAGCTTTGCTGACTGAGGAATTCTGGGAGTTGAAGTCCACCAGGCTTAAAGCTTTGCTGACTGAGGAATTCTGGGAGTTGAAGTCCACCAGGCTTAAAGCTTTGCTGACTGAGGAATTCTGGGAGTTGAAGTCCACCAGGCTTAAAGCTTTGCTGGCTGGGGAATTCTGGGAGTTGAAGTCCTCCAGGATTAAAGTCGCCAAGGTTGGAGACCCCTGAGCTAGAAAAATATTTTGTAGGTTGGAAAGGGGAAGAGGAAGTGGGGTGGAAACCCCTTTTTCTTCACAGGAAATGCGAGCCTGCTCTAAATAATTCCATTTATTTCTTCTGTTGAAAGCGATTGATGTTGCTAGTTGTTAATATATTACAGTATTCATTGGCTTCACTTTTTTTTAAAAAAAAGCTGCTGATTATTGACTTAATAAATCCTATTAACTGATTAAGAGAATTTCTATTTTGTTTATTCCCTGCCTTCTTAGGATACTCCTCAACTTACAACCGTTCCTTTTAGCGTCTGCTTCAGGTTGCAGCGGTCCTGGAAAAAAGGGACAGGATCGTTTTTCACACTTACGACCATTGCAG